TATATTCATTGAAATAGAAAATACTTTATACTCATTGCCTTCCATTCCACTTTCATGATCATAAAGGAAGAATTATTCATAAAAATTATGAAAGTACAAAAAAAGCAATATAATACTCAAACAGAAAACTTGAAACACTTCGATTATTTAGATAGATTCAAAACTGTACCTGGGAAGGATTTACGGATATGTTCGTATTGCTACATGTTTCAACTCTTCTTTGCAGCTGTTCTGGCTGCATACGATATTCTGAAAGATAGTAATATGCAGTTTTCACAACTCTAAATAATAAGTGGACAACAGCTACAGTGAAAGATAAAGAAAGAGTAGATTCATATGTTGTATTTAAATCTAAATGGTTAATTGAGGAAATGAAAGCAATGAACGAGTTTACAGTGCTGTAAAAGATGATGGAGAACATGGAACCAGTTACACTTGAAACATAAAGGCATAAAATATAGCTATATCTTTGCTAAACAAATTCGTTTTCCTCAATATTCTCAAACCCAACCTGTATTTTCAGGCTTTCGATTTTCTACTTCATGTTGATTGACCGGGACTGTTGAGATGGTGACTTCCTCCTGTCCAATCTGCCATTTGATCGTCTGAGAGCCTAATGTTGGCGTACTGTAATGATAATCAAAGAATAATTTCGTTCAGATGAAATATAATTTATGAGTTTTAAAAACGGATAAATCCTATAACATGACCAGAAGTATAAAAACCTACTTAATGAAGTCATTCGCTTGGCTACCACTGTCTTCAATGAAATCTTCCGTAGCTTTGATCTGAAATGATTGGTTTCGACATTCATAAATAAGATTATAGGCAACCAATCAAAACTTCAATTTTTTGGAGAACTTTTCCTTAATTATAACAGAAAAAGAATTACTTGCGATGATACATCTTCGGTATTATGATCGATAACTGCCGCAGAATCATCTTGTACCACTTTACTTTCCTCAATCATTTGTTGCTTATCTATGAAAGATCGCAAGGCTGGAATCCAGGTTGTACTGTTTGTGTCTGCGGATGCCACAAATTTCAAACTAAAAATATGCTCATAAATCTCAGGTTCACAGACAGATGAAAAAATGTCTGAATGAAAAAGAATCACACCATTTTATTTCCTTCTTCTGCATGCATTTTAGGGACACCCTATTTTGCACTGCAGAAGTATACACGATTAGTATCATGAAAGGAATGATTTTGAAGTTTAGAGACAAATTAGACAAACAAAAAATGTATAATGCACACCGTTCAGCGAGTTCGTAAAGCCGTTCAAGTTGTCTGATATCAATTTCATGATGTCGATCCCAAATCTCCTTCGCAATTTCAACGCAATATCGGAAAGCATCTATTGCAGAATTCCCAAATTCCGAAACCATTTCCGCATAATCCAGACGAAGTAGCTGATATACAAGTGATGCGTTGGAATTTACCGGAAACCCATTGTTGGCCAATTTAATGGAATATTGAAAAATTTCCGTAGCATGTAAATCTAATATCGAGAAGCTGAAACTCTATGTAACTTAGAGGAACATTAAAAAAAAATGGTAATGCCACAGATGCAATCTTACACTTCAAGAAAAATGGAGAAGGGGACTGACACAAATGATAGTAATATTGCCGTATTTTGAGAACTATACGCAAGTATCTGAGGAAATTTTTCTATAAACAGAAGGACAAAAAATTCTTATCACCCTTTAGAAAATTTGAAATCCATTTCTTCTCCTGGCAAAGTTGCATGAATAAGTATTATGTGTCGACGAACATCTGCATTCATATCTTCGCTGAAAACTTCAGTTATGAAATTCGCTTAATAAGAGCACCGTGGATAAAAAATTTCAATATTTCGAAAGGGAAAAATTAAACAGAAAAAGATACACCTTCTAGGTACTGGTTGAAACGGATTATAGCTAGGTATCAAAAGGTTGACTGCTAGGAAACAAAAATCCGCCGCAGCATGCAATCCACGACGAGCGAGCACGCAACCAAGTTGATACACCGTTCCAAGAGCTGCTGGAGTATTTAAATTGGCTAGTACTATAGCTGCATGTGAACGCCAGCTATCTACTTCGTCCATCGGTGGACTTGTCTAGAAAAACATTTACTTAACCATATTTTATAACTGATGACATCCGGGATAACACGCTTTAGTCCACTCATCTATTTTTAATTTAAGATATGCACACATAACTAGAGAAAATGATTAAAACTCACTTAATCGATCAGTAATTTGAAATCAGTGGGACTGGAAACATTATAAAGGATGATATTAATCAGAGGGCGAAGCTCACCAAAACCGGAGCCGGTTGTCCATTTGCAACTGAGAGAAGAGTCATTACAGGATTCAGCTCTGATCGATGCGACAAAAAGGCTGTCTCGATTTTTTCAAGTTCTTGTGGTTCATTGACACACATACGACGTGCCAGAATCATTGCATCCGAATACAGTCCGTCTTTAATCGCACTTTCAAGAGCTTCCTACAAGAATTTTTTCTTATCAAAACTTGATTTCGCAAGATCATCTTATAATATCTGGCTAATATTTGGTAGTCGCCATCCATGCCAATATCAACAGCTATAAAGAATCAGGATGATAAGGACCTTTAAGTCACAAAGAATTTCCAAATGTAACATGACACTCATATTTCTCTCTACGAACACTAGGACAAATATAGATATTACCAGGATTACAAATACCTACCTACTTTCCAAAAAACTCGAGTATTGTCAAAAAATTAAATTTGAGTTTGTGCAAGTTAATTTCGATATTGTAGAATAATATATGAAACCTACTATAATATGGCCACCTAGCAGAAGTTGTGTGAAACGATCATATGCCTTGGAATCCACAAAACGTTCATTGGAGTTTGCAGGAGTATGCAGACTTGACTTTTCCTTCCCATGTCGTCGCTGCTCTGACACATCACAAGTGGCCATTAATAATCGCGATAAATCCGGACCCGTTACTCGCTAAATCATCATTAGAGTTAACGCAGTTTTTGTTACTCAAATGAAAAAGGCCATGCACTAAAAAATTAAATGTTTTAATTCAAAGTCAAAAACACACTCCTTGTTGCTGCACAAGCATTTCCAAAAGCTGCCATATTAAAAGACAGTCACTTTCCAAGCTATTTGATGGATTCAAAAGATACGCTTCCGACTTCAGAATTAGTTCAATTTGACGCTGTACATAAAGGTGCACAGAATGAGTTGGAGTAAATCCGGCAACAAGAGGACCTGAAAACCAGCAGTCACAGAAAGATTAAAATATAAGAATATAGGTAACATAAAATATAAGGATATAGCAAGAAAAGCTAGATATGAATACATATTTCACATCCAACCTTTCTTTGCAGTGAAAAAAATATTCAACCAGGAGTTGATTCAAAAGTTTTATATGAACCACTAACAGTTTTTTTATAATTCAAAGTAAAAAATGAAAACGTGAGTTTATTTCAAGAACGGTTTTTAAATTTCTTAAAAGGTGCTTACGATTACGACCCCAAACCAGTTTGTTCAACTGATTCAATTAGGAAGTTGGGAAAATGTCTTTACCATGAAAAATTAAACTATACCTCGGAACGATTCAATGGCATTCGAAATACGCGACAGTTTATGATTACTAAACAAACTTTTCAGATCGCGTATTTCTAGGATATTTTCCGAATTCTGAACATTTAGCATGATTACCTTTCCACCGACACCAAATCTAAGAAACGAGTGCGGAACACGGAATTTCAATGGTTCTGGAACAAATAGAACACAATTCGAAAAACCTCATTGTGAATGACAACAATCGGCCATCGAATTCCAAAAAGGAAATTAATAAAACAAATTAAAACCATTATTAGTATAAAGTATAAAGTAAATAGTATAAAGTAAAAGTAGAAAATGAGAAGACAAATTTCATAATAAGTAATGCTTAAACCTAATTTTTGACAAGCAAACCTTTAGTGGCAGAATCGATGCTGAGATGATCGCTGTCATTTTCAACATCACATCTGCTTCCTCGTTCACTTTGTCTGAAAAATTCAAGATGCATAAGGGAATCGAAACAGTTTTGAAAAAGTCCAAAAACGTGTTCCAAGTCATATTTAAAATATACTTTTTTGACTGCAGAAAAATAACTCTCATTAACTACATAGCATGCGTGTGCCAAAAATGAAATGAATTTACGAAAATGCAACTGGAATAGCAAACTTTTTTTAGAGAAAAGAAGAACGAGATGAATTAGAATGGGATAAGAAAAAAGAGAAAAGAAGACCAACTAGAATGAGAAAAGAAAGGACATGGAGCAAAATGCATTTTACAGCCAAAAAAAACTCGAAAGAGTTATTTGACTTACGTTTTCGTAAATTTATTTCATTTTTGCCACACAAAACACACACACACACACA